AAGGGCCCCGTCCCAATACTCGCACTTCCTCCCTCGCGCCCCTCATTTGCGTGTTCCCGATAAAGGGTGCGAGTGCGTAGGGTGTCCCAATCCTCCAGGGAGGTCTTTGGCCCCGCCCCCTTTGCGCCCCTGATCCACACTTCGCCGTAGCCTGCATCTATGCGCACTCTGGCGAAGGATATTGCCCATAATTCTTGGCGGTACACACCAAAACATCGGGAAAATGCATTTAAATATAAATTTTGAAATATATATGCAGTATGTGTGTAAATAAGTTTTGCTATGTTACTTGGAAAGAAGCATAAACGTCTGATTTACGGACATTGTGTTTTAACAATTTAATAACTTTTTAAATCAAGTGTTTATATAAAATTCAATTTAAACTTTACACTTAGTACAATAATCTTAGAATGTATAAAAACTGACCATAGTTAGTTACCCACATTTAACTTAAAATTATACAGCTATCTCTAATTAAAAACAACTAATATACATGTATTTTAACGAGTGTGAAGCAATTCATTTTGTTTCCCAAAGGGTCAGAAAAAATTACCTTTAATGTTTATAAAGTTTAGGTCTGAAAATGACCATCTCTTGACGAGACGATGACGTAACCTGCACTCAGTGTGCACTGTCCCAATTCCGCCTTTTGTGCACGCTTGTAACCTGCGCACTCCAACCCTTGCGTGCACTTCAGACACATGCACACTTCATAGGAGGGCGTAGGGTGCAGTGTGGGTATTGGGACTGGGCCAAGCACAGGGTACATATAGACAGACACAGGTGAAACACATTAGGGCGGGGCAGACAATCAAGACAGGGGCAAAAACAGGACAGGAAGTACAACTAAAACCAAACCACAGAGAACAATGTCAAAATAAAACAAAAATACAAAAATAAAACCTACACCATGACAAGCAATTTGCATTGTACCAACAATAACACATTTTGTGCATCTCATTGACATCATGTCACACTTCATTTGGGCTCCATTGCCGTGATGCCACCTGCATGTTAAAACAAGATTCTCTGAGACCTCTGATGGGAAACCTCTGGAAACACTAAGTGCCACAGTGGGGTGGCTGTGTCTGAAAAGTGTCAATTATGTCTTTAGGCAAGACGCTTCACTCATATCGCTTACTCTGAGTCTGGTGTGCGTGTTTGTGCGTGTGTGTGAGTGTGTGTCTGTGTGTGTCTGTGTGTGAATGGTTGCTGGTGGGGGGGCCGATGGCACATACTTGTTGCCTCGCTTCTGTCAGTGTGCCCTGGGGCAGCAATGGCTACAGAAGTAGTTTATCACAATGAGAGTGAATGAAAAATAACATGTGAAGCATCTTTGAGTGGCCAGAAAAGCACTACAGTATACAGTATAAAACTGATGCATTATTATTATTAATATCAGTCACTCCCATTAGAGCATACTGATGCAAACATTTGTTAATCCCCTTTTTTAATTCTCTCCATGTCTGTGCACCTCTGGACGAAATGTACATAGCACTTTCTTTAGGACACTCTACCTTGCCTTTGCACAAAACGCCATCCGCCTGTGTATCCAAGACAACCAGCACCCTGCGGCGTCTGCTCACTCCCGCAGGAACGGATCCGCCGTACTTTAATTAGCCTTGTCACCCATCTTTCACACCGCTGCTCGCCCTCTTAATCGATATGTATTTTGGGCCGCATCGATCGCAGATGATGCATTGTTTGCCGCCGCGCTTACTTTGTAGTAACTGTAATGACACGCCGATAATAAGTTGCAGTGCTATAAATGACTTTCTTTATATCATAAGAATGTATGGGGATTAAACGCAGGCACAATATAATAGATAGATTTAAACGCAAATAATAACACAAAGGTATTCACTGGGCTTGTTGAAATGATGGATGATAAAGAGAGGCTATTACCAGCTGTGAGGCCCAGCGCTAACGGGAAATACAAGTGGACCTTTTTAGTAGGCTGTTGAGTGCACTAGTTTTGGGTGAAAAGTCTAAAATCAATAGTTTGTATTATTGAAGTGAATGTATTCATTTGGAACCTGAACACAATTATTCAGTGGTTTGAAAAGGGAGTGGATGAACAAAACAATGAAATTATTCCAATCCCCACTCACACGTTCAAACTCAAGACACACAATACAATTTGACAATAAGAACAATAGCATACAGTTTTAGCAGAAGAAATAGTAGCGTGAAATACACTGATGGTACACAACAACGACAACACAACACAAACACTCCATTATTAATACAACCCAACTGCCAGAATCTTCCTGCCTTGCTCCAAAGCACAGATTACTGATGCAATCCACCTGCAGGGGAAACGGTACAAACTCTGTATATTATGCATGATACTTTCATATAAACAAATTTGTGATTGGGCTATGCTTTGATAGTGAAGTTGTTATGAAAATCAAAGTAAAAAGATAGCGCCAAATCCAGACCAAATTCACCTAACAAACTGGCAACCACCTTGAAAGCCTCATTCTGCTCTCTGATTGGATAATTTGATCTGTAAACATAAATATTATGGACATTATGTCTATTTGATTTTCAATTAAGAATAACTCCAGTTTAAACTTTTGTACAAAAAAATTAAAGCATGATTTGTACATTTGACTTGTTACCTTCCCTTTAAATGTTATTGTTATTGAAAGACATGTTATTGTATCTGGTCACGGTTGTCTGTTAGCTTGACTACATTTATAGTATTGTCCTCTCCATAAACAGTTAAAGCTGGAGGACCTAACATCAAAAACACAAAAAAACTGCATAATACAACCCAAGCAACTTGTTCCTTGCGTTCAAAGAAAAGTCTATTATTAGTTTACACGTTTTTAGATCAGCTTTTTCAGTAAAAAGAGGAAAATCAGCTCTCAGTATGTAATAGTTAAACTGTTGTCTAATAAGATGAAGACAGCATGTTGTGGTCTGAATTGTTCACAAAATGTTACTCTTATACAGGACTATTTGTGATGGGACAAATACAATGTATTTATGAAGCCAAAGAAAAAGTTTAATGCAGCAGCTTTACAAGGGTCCCTTGTAGCTAATACAGTATGAACTCCAGTAGAATCTGGGCAAAATAACTACAGCTGCAGTGCTATACATGACTTATTTATTATCGTGAATGAGCCCTGACTCAATAGAATAGCTATAGATTTAAACGCAAATAATAACACACAGGTATTAAATGTGCTTGATGGATGATAAAGCCAGGCTATTAGCAGCTCTCAGCTCTCAGCGCCGGCGCTAACGGTAAATAGAAGTGGACGTTTTAGTGGGCTATTGAGCGGGTATGATTGTGTGCCACTTTCGGGGTGGTCTCAGGCGGTTTGGATTCATATGTGCTTTGGCGTTTTAACAGCAGGCCGCTGACAATCGTAGCTGAGGATATTTCGGGGGACGGGGGCTGCCAGGCTGTTTGGATCCTAGTATGTGCCTGGACTACACACTGAGCAGTTTTCTGTTTGTGTCGCAAAAGCTGCTCCCACCACTGAAAGAGAAAAACAGCTGGTGGCCGGAAATAGAAAAGGAGATAAATGCTAACTTTGAGGCTAAAATTATGGCGTTTGGAAGGGCTAATTGGAAACTTTACCTAATATGTAGCGTTCAACATCAAACAAGGCATTCAAATCCTAAATAATCACAGTATATTAAAAGAGTAAAGATACAATCCTTCAGTTTTTAACCTGGATTTGAACATTTTCAGAGAAGAAGCCTGTCTTTTAGAAATGCATCAATCATCTCTGTGTTTTTTTTTTCTCTTACCGTGCATAGATTTAAAAATGCTGAGAAAAGGTATTATGACTCAGAAAGGCAAAATTATGAAGATGTTCGACAGGAGCATCACTTAAAATGTATACAAAATCCCATATTCACAGAGCTTTAAGGATCTAATTAATTAAAATAGTTAGATACGGCACTAATAAAATGGTTGTCCTTACAGATGTGTCCTCTCTCTCACCTATGGTTATAAGTTTTATGTAATGACTGAAAGGATAAGATTGTGGATACAAGCGGTCGAAAGCGGTCGAGTGGCTGGGCGCTCTGGACACGGTGAGGAGCTCAAACAAACAGGAGGAGCTTGGGAGGATTCAATCTGAAGAGACCAAAAGACACAATTAATGCAATAAAATTATTTATTTGTTTGGCGCATCGACCCCGGCATTGACACTTGCAGCTATGAGATCGATTGCAGCTGAAGATTATCTCAGATCCCCCCGGGGTCAAGCACTGGTGGTGGCTAGAATATGGTGTGAATGGGGCGGAGCCAGAGCGGGAGCCAGAGCGGGAGGCTGGGGAGGTGCTGGGGAGGTGGTGGGTGTTTAAGAGCCTCAGGAAGCGTTGCTTGTCAGGAAGTGGCAGCCTTTTAGACTGCCCGCTTTACTGTGAGAGGGTTGGCAGGAGGCTGGCCGGGCTGTGTGATTGGCTGAGGCTTGAGAATGGCAGAGCTGTGTGATTGGCTGAGGCTCGAGGCTGGCAGAGCTGTGTGATTGGCTGAGGCTTGAGAATGGCAGAGCTGTGTGATTGGCTGAGGCTCGAGGCTTCTTGCAGGCTTGGAAAGGGGAATTTGCACTCGGTCTTTCAGTCTGAAGCTGCGCCTTTAGCTTCATGATTGTGTGGATAAGGAGGTCTGGGCATCTCTGCTTAGACAGCTGCCACCGCAGGAAAATGGATGGAATGCATTTATTTGATTGAAATGCTGCAAAAAACATTTGTTATAGTGGTATTTAACAAGCATAAAGTTAACATTTTTGGGAGCAAAATTGAGTTGCAAAGCTGAGCAAGTGGATGCTTGAGTAAAGAGTGAGGCAACATGGACGCATCCCAATAGGACCCGTCATTTAGACAGAGCACCGATTCTTTTAGCTCTTTTGTCCCTAAACGACACCATAATCGTCCAATTAGCCAAACTTGCCTTTCCGGAGAGAGCCTTGTTTGAAAAAGGGAGCGTGACATTTGTATTTTGCATAATGATTTTTGTATGCGCTGTGGCCGTCATGTTACGAGTGTGTCCAAGCATTTGGGAAGCGAGGAATTATCTCAGGTTTGCTGAAAAAGGCAATCTGTCTGAGGCCACAGTGCTGAAGCTGCAGTATGAGGCAGGTGTGTAGTACAAAAAGACCAAGTTTGTGAGTTCAGGAGGGAAAAGAGAAGGATTATAATATTTCAAGTGGCTTATTGGAGTTGCGCGATTATGCTGATGGTTCAAATAACTTTGTGTAAGTCTGAATGCAACCAATGAGATGCTGTTTTGTTGGCTTTTAGAGTTATTCCTTGCGGATACAGGGGGGTCTGTCAGACTGTTTGGGGGTCGAACAAAAAGGACTGTGGTGATGATCCAGATTACTCTAACATTCTACAACATTTATGGACATTTATCATCTTTCATAAACATTGGCCAACTCCCTATAGACCAATACCTATGTGTTCTTTATTTTTTGTGTTTAAACTGTTGTATTCTTTTATCTGTGTTGACAATTTCATCGGTTTTGTTAAGTTCTCTGAGAATACTATTTTTGTGATTTAGGGCTATACAAGAATAAATAGAATTTAATGGAATATTCAAGTTCACCATTGCGTGATTGCTGTGATGTTTCATTTATTCATTTATTTGACAGGGACGAGAGTTTTGCTTTTCAGTCCGAGCCCGAGCAGGCCTGAGCTCGACCCCGAGTTTGGGCCGTGCTCGGGCCTCATTTCAGGGCTCAGCTGTCGGGCCGTTTCGGGGTCGGGCTCCTTTTTTTTTTTTTTTTTTTTATCATTATTATTATTTTTTACTGATTTTTATACATAACTATATATGTATAGTATTTATTAATAATAATGTCAGTTGATTGACAACAAGTTATTAATAAAGTTGAAATAATAATAACACCGTAACCGGCGTGTCCTACAGCCGTGTCCTAAGCCGTAAACGCATCATCCCTGCTTTTCCTGTTGAATGCTATGGTCAACAGCGAACACACGGAACATTAACAGAAATGGATCAGGTGGAGGGACAAAGCAAATTCAAAAGTGGAGAGCTAAACTTGCAATTGGAAGGTGAGTACGTGCAACAAGGGAAATCAGATGTGTCAGGCTCGGGCCTATTATACAGCGTTAATTGGTCGGGCTTATACGGGCTCTGGCTTAATATTAGCAGGCTCGGGCCGGGTCGGGCTTGATTTTTCAGGCCCGAACGAAACTCTAACAGGGACACTTCCCAACTTGGCTTCATTGAGATAGCAGGTTACCACTGTCCATCTATATGGAGTATTTGGATAGCACACACATCCAGCAGTAGCTCATACAAAAAAAAAAAAACCTTTGGTAATTATTCTCGGTGGAATAGATTTGCATTGATGCACGGCCAAAATAGTGTTCAGTCCCCTCTTGTGACTCGGCTTGTAGCTGATCTGATGGTGCTAAACTGTGTGTGAGAGGGGGTGAAGACAGTCCATTGAGGATGTGTGTATTTGATCATACTGTCCCAATTTCAGAGCTTGTTTTTGCTGAACATGTGCCCAATAGTCTTGGCTTAACACAAGAATCAAAACCTAATCTTGGTGAAATAAAGATTACTTACTTACTTACTTACTTTTTAATCTTCTATCTATCTCATCTACTACATCCATCCCAAACATCTTGAGGTCACATTGTTCACCATTCACATATTTAAAACAAGCTCTGAGTCTAATTACTTTGAAAAGGTCTCCTCAAATATACCCTTGACCCTTGTCCTAAAGCTGCCAGCCCCGATAGCTCACATGCTATTTGTTCTTCCATGAAGTCCAGGACAGAACTGATGTTTGGAAAAAAAAAACTGCGGTCCTATCACTGGTGACATTTACAACAAAATCATTCCTCGTGTCTATATATATTAACTATGTCTGTTTTTATGTCAGAGGGTCCCTGGGCACTGTGCTACGGCGACTACAGCTCCTGACAAAGGCCCTAGTGGCATTTTATGGGTTAAATGCAGAGGATAAAGTTCCCTGCTGGGATAGATAAAGTGACCATTTATTATTCAATCAGTATTCCATATTCTGTAGGTACAAAACAGTTTATCTTATGGTTGATTTTCTCACTGCATTAATTTGAATCTGTTTTATATTAGGTATTTATATTTCCTCAAAACATAGTTTTTAACAATTCAAGGCTATACAGATGCACACATTATATGCCTTTATACAATATGGAAAAGCCCAAATAATGATGTCATAATTATGATAGGTTGCTGACAACATTTTATTTATTTCAAACCCATACCATACCTTGACACTCTTGACTTTCTCCTACGGGGGATCAATAATGTATCTATCTATCTATCTATCAATCTAAATCTATCTGTCTATCGAACAATTTGTTAAACATATTACAACAATCTGGCCAAAGCGGTTACCAAGTGGTCATAACAAAGGCAGATCTCAAAAGGGGGATGAGAGTGTGGTGCAAATTAACAAACCTGACTGAGTTATACTTTTTCTGATGGAGTAATGGGAAAGAATTTCAGCAATTTCAACAATTGTGGTAAACTTGTGAAATGATTTGACCTCAGGCAAACCACTTAAATAGAAATTTTCAAAAACTTGAGAAACGCCATTATAGAAAGTACAATGTTGCCAACAAACAAGATAACTTTAGCTATCATATCTTTCTTTATACAGTGTGTAAGTATGTTTTTTTCTGAACATGTTGGTTCACTGTTGGGTCAGGGAACTAAATACAGACACAGAGGTATTCACAAAAATATCGGATCGCAATGCTGACACAGAAGCATGGAGACAGGCCGTGAAAGACAGACAACATACATCATCCAACTGGACAAGTCAATGCAAGTTGAACTGTGTATCCAAAAAAGAAAATTACGGAGAACATTTCTTAACTCCTCCCGGCCGACCAAAGCTATATAAGCAGCATTTGTAAATATTTGAGAGAGTCTCGGATTGAACGGACTGCATGTGCCGCTTCAATTTGAACTCCCGTCCATCTTATATGTACATAAAGACCTTCCTCTACAAACCACAAAGTTGAGTATTTGTTTTGTTACATTTCTCTGATTCATGTCATTGCTTACGCCACATTATGTGAGTGTTCCAGATATCTAACAACTGTGCTTATGCAGGCCCTCCGGTCACCGGAGGTTGTGAGGCCGTGATCTTATAAAATCACCTAACCCTGATTTTACAGTGTATGTAAACTGTCAGAACAATCTCACTAATATATATTGAAAGTGCACGTGTTTCTTCCATTTTTTTCTGTTTCTATTTTCCAAATCAGTTATTGAACTATTATTATCAAAAATCATTGATACATCCACACAACTAACAGAAACAGTCTGAAATAGTTTGTCCCCATGATTAAGGAAACATGACGAAAGCCTTGAAAACGCATCACTCAAGTCTGGTGCAGTGCAGGAGCTGACCCAGTATGTTGAAAGAAAACCAGGGTAGAAAGAGAGAAAGAGAGAGAGAGAGAGAAAGAGAAGAAGGCAGCGTGTCCGCGACCATACCTCCGCCGGCTAAAGCTCTGCACTGTTTGCCTTGTGAATTCTACCTCCCTGGAGATCCTATAGCCCACTCTGTTGTCTGCAAAAAATAGAAAGCGAGAGAAATGCAAGTTAGGAGAAAGTTGCAGTCATTTGTGCATTTCAGCAGCATCAGCCTCTGCATTTGAGACTTGGCAAATTTGTGTCGTTATCACAAGGGAAAGCAGGGGTATTATTTCATCTAATCAAATCCGGAGCGGAGTGTCCCTGGTTGGCATTGTGGATAAGCGAGGTTCCCGGCTGATGTTGTGACGGTCTTGAAGGAGGGCTGCATTATAAGCCCGGAGTGTACTCTGTAGTCACCTCTTGAGCTTTTTTTTATGGAATTGCTACAAATGAGCTGACATTTGCACAAAGCCAATAATGTCTGTCCTCCCCAGACTGCTCAGGCAGCTCTGCGCGGCGTATTTGCTAATGGTTGCGGAGGTTATTAGATGGACGTTTTCACTTTTTTTACATAAAGCTCTTCTCAAGGAATTTAAACTGTTGCAATGGCACATGGGTAAACACTATGGAAGCAGAGGGTTCGGCTCACCGCTTCCATTACTTTTTGGTGTTCCTTGATATATTCCACTTGGCAGATGTAGTTTTGTTAGGAATTCATTGCTCGGTAACATTCACTTCAATTCAATTTAATTTTGTAAATCCTTATATCACAACAGCAGTCGTCTCCAAGGACTTTACAAAGTTGTCCAATTACCAAAAACAGATCAGAGAATCAAAAAATTCAAATAGAGTAAATGCAATAAGATTAAGAGATCCTTTATTCATCCCACAGTGGGGAAATTTCAGTGTTGCATCACAGGTTATAGGACAGTAGGAATGAGGAGCACTCAGCATAAGATAAGAGAACGATAGCTATTGTGGAAAATTAACCTATTAAATATCTAGCATCAATAACAAGTATGAAATCTCAATCTTGAACATAATAATAATAAAGAAGTATAAAATTGTTACGTTGGGAAAATTAAGAAGCAAGTATTCTAGTACTGTGTATTCTAGTGCAAGCAATAGGCAAGGCAAGGACCCTGGCCTAGGGAGACGCCTCTGATTTGCCCTAGATGAGACAAAGATCCTCAAATTATACCATATCGGTTTAGATGTGTCCTGCTTCATTATTTCATCAAGTAAAGAAAAAACTGTAGGCTTGCACGTGCAGATCAGATAATGACTGCACTGTACCCATTATTACGTGATGAATGATAACTTAAAAGGGAGATATTCAGACTTTACATGGAAACCGTGGGTGGGGGGTGGGGGTAGGGTGGGGGGGGGGGGGGCAAAGTAGATTGAAGTGTAGAGGTCTGGAGGCAGCGCAGCCCAACCTGTGCACCATCTGCTGTGGACCTGTTGGACCGGGGCCACACTCTGCCTGTCTGTGTTCAGGAACGCTCCAACTATCACTGTAATCAAGGTACAAAGCCTGAATGAGAAATTCTGTCAAAACTATTGTTCCTCATCAAAAACAGACCTTGTCACCTCTGCTCAGAGGTGAGACGAAGACAAACGATTGTCCTGTGAGCCACTTCACTTCCAATTTTCCATTCAAACAAACTGTTCAGTGAAACTGTATTAG